ATCTCCGGTGATACACAACATCTTCAGACGATTTCGAAGAAGGATGTCAAATAACATGGGATGTAAAGGGGGTCCTACTTCCAAACAGTTGTTCAAGGAAAGTACTTGACAATGTGTCTTTGCTGAACAATCATAAACTATCCTCATCTTTGTGGACTCGGCCTGGTCCAGATCACTAGTTGATGAGGAATATAAAGGATGACCTCCCCCGTAGGTGTTTTGGGCACCTCTTCCAAGAGTCCTTCTGCTAATTGCTCTGTTGTAACCATATGGTACTCTTTAAGTTGCTGCATCCTCTCTAGTTTCTGTGTTGTACTTCTTAGCCTTCCAATAGTCAGTTGTTTGTTTGAAGGCAGAGGGGGTGATCTGGTTTCCATGGCAACCATGTTGAATATGTTCCATCATCCAAATGTTGTAAGTGATCTTTGAAATCTTCATGGAACAACTGCTGCACGTCAGCTTTATCAGTCGGTCCTAGGACCTCCTGCAAACACATCTGCTGAAATTCATGTTGGCTTGAATTTAGGAAGAAATCCTTTTCAGTCTCCGTACTCAACGACGTTAACTTTCCCATGATCACCCAACCCAGCATGGTGTACTCTGCACCAGGATCAATGTCTGGATCTACTCCTAGGACAGCTGGTTCAGTTGTTTTGATGCGCTAGATATCTGCAGCACCAAGGATCACATGGACTTGCAAGTTATCTTCCATCACCATTTCTTCACTGAAGTGTAGTCTCTTTATGCAGTAGTTGGCCTTCTTTAACTCCGATATTCTTGGGTTAGGGAGGTGAGTTAACACTGGTTTCTCTGCATTTATGCAACATAGCTCAAGCTCAAAGCCCTCGATGGCATTTGATTCAACGCGGACCTTGTATATCTCAACAAGTTTGTCCACTGTCCCATACATTTGTTCTATGACCCTCCTTTCAGTTTGGTATGGCTTCAGGTTCAGTTCTGTAAGCAAACTTGAGCTGATGTAGGAGCTTCCAGCTCCACTGTCCAACATGATTCGAGCTTGT